CGAATCCTCCCCTGGCAGCCAAAGGTCGTCGTCACTTACGTCACCCTCCGTGTGGGACCACTCAGTGGTTGACCCTGACGACGTAGAGATGGCAAACGTCGGGGGTTCATCGGCGTTGACGTCGACGTCCACATCAAATGCCATGTAGACGTCGTCGTCGCCGTCGAGGCACTTGTAGGACGGAAGGACGTACGTCTTCGGTACGCTGTCATAACTGTGACGTCCTCTCGTCTTCGTCCCTTCTTTGTGTTTCGGGGTTGTCATTGATGTTTTCCTAGGTTTCTGGTCAAGTCGCTCTGTAAATAAAGGACAATGTCACGTAAGGAGACAGAACGGCCATAACAACAACATATAAACAAAAAAATATAAATCGGAGACTTTGTTTTTTGTTGGATTACGAGGGGTGTTCAAAAAGTTCTCGGCCTCACCTAGAAAACGTCAGGGCAGTAAAATTTTTCTTACACTATTTTTTAATATAGTCCTCTCTAACTGCAATGCACTTGGTCCAGTGATGTTCCAGCTTTATTTTCCCCTTGTGGAAGAAGGTTGCATCTGGACCCCCCAGATTGGCCTATACCGCATAGATGACGTCATCATTACCATCAAAACGTTGACCACATAAGTGGAACTTGAGTTCAGGAAACAGGTAGAAGTCCAAGGGTGCTAGTTCAGGTGAATTGGAAGGGTGGGGTTAGACTTCAAAGCCAGATTCGTTTGCTGCTTCCACTGACCCCTGTGCTGTGAGGACAGGTGCATTTTCATCACGCCGGCTCGGTGCTTTCCTCTCCTTTTCTCTTTGATCGTTGTCCTCAACTGTCGCAATTCTGTTGAATAGCACTCTCCATTGATGCGCCTTCGCAGGTAGTCAATCATGATTACTTCCTTACCGTCCCAGAAAACAGAGGCAAAAACCCTGTCAACGGACGAAACTCTCTAAAACGTCTTGGGGGGCCGGGAAAAATTCTTCATCCATTGTTTGCTCTGCTGTTTTTATTCGGGCTGCAAGTGGTGAACCCAGCTCTTCTTGGGTTACAAATGTTTTGAGGAAATTGCATGGATTGGACTGAATTCGTTCCTTGAAATGTCCAGCCTGTTTAACTTCTGATGTTCAAAAAACATTAGAGGCACCCACCACGCAGACAGTTTTTTCATCCCCAGGATGTTCGACAAAACATTGTGAACTGAGTCATAACACAGGCCAAAGAACCTGCTACATGTTGGCCAGTCTCAAATCTGTCATTCACTACCATGTGATGGATGGCCTCAACTGGATTGTC